GGCTGGGCGTTCCCTACCGAGCAGGTCCGTGCCTTTGTTAGCCTGCTCCAGGGCTGTCGGGTCCTCCTGGACCTCGGGCTGGGATTGCCAATACACGAAGTCTTGCAGCAGTTCGAGCCGGTGGTGCTCGGACTGCTGCTTCGTGCTTTCGGGGAGATCTGTCATTCTGTCACGGTGCGGGGCAAGCGAACCGGAAAGCAGGCGACTGGAGCCGTAAATACGGACAATCAGGGTTTTAATTGAGACGGAGAGTAACCAAGCAGGAACATTCACAGACACTACAATGACAGATCTGGGGTACACTGACTTAGACACGGACTAAATACAAGAGAGGGTAACGAATCACAGGTGAGAACAATCAGGGAATCACACGAGGTAACGAGGTGGGCGTGGCACACATTGGGAGCGGACGGAGCGGGGCGTGACAGTGTGTGTGTAAAAAATAATTTTCTTTCTGACCAGCTCAATTTTAAACTTGACTAAATATTTTGTCGGACGCAACAGCTAAGCAGCTCATCGGGAATTCTCCCAAGTCATTTTTATAAAATTGTGTTTCCTTTTATGGGGACCAAAAAATCCAAAAAATGGAGGACAAAATCCTCTATGATTTGTGTGTAGAGTCCCTGTGCAGTGATCTCATGTTGGATGGCAGTCTCAGCCAATCCACTCACACGATCTTGTGACATTGTGGGTCGCACGTAGCCAATCCACTCACACGATCTTGTGACACTGTGGGTCGCACGTAGTTCTCCAAATCTTTAGGTTGTGCCAGGGCTCCAGACAACATTACAAGCCGCTGGCTCCTAAACCCAAAATATTTAGGAACCGCATGCTTTTTTTCAGGAGCCATAATCTCCATCACATTCCAAATGTGAAATAAATGCAAAATACTTACATGGCTCATTTTGTCTGTGGTCTACCTCACGCTGCCTTTTCTTTCTCCTACCTGAGTTATCTGATCTGCCTACTATTGCCATCTGCATTCTTATATATAATAACAAAAGAATAAATGACACAGAAATATGCAATATTATGGCTTACCAAACAGGAAATATTTAATCATCTTTGATATATATGGAATGAAACCCGATATATATGGAATGAAACCTGATATATACAGTATACAATGAAACTCGGAATATATTGAATGAAACCCGATATATTTGGAATGAAATCTGATATATATACAATGAAACTCGGAATATATGGAATGAAACCCAATATATATATACAACGAAACTCGGAATATATGGAATGAATGTCGATATATATACAATGAAACCTGATATATATGGAATGAAAGCTGATATATATACAATGAAACCCAGAATATATGGAATGAAAGCTAATGGTATCTCCCTTGGTGAACAGTGAACGCTGAAAACTGCCTAAAAAGTATAAAAAAAAAAATAATAATAATCTTTGTCGTTTATGTGATGAACAATTTCTATCTTTACACCGAATGTCTGTAAAATTTACATTTTGAAGAACTGCTGTTCGTACGCTAAAAGCTAAGATGATTTGAAAAGTATGATATACATACAATGAACGTGAAATTACAGATAGGCACTGCTTTGGTCAGCTTCGTTGGGTCTTCCACTTCAAGGCACGCGATGAGGGGGGCGTGTCACTGTGATGCCTGAAGTCTAAACATAGCTGTAGTGCAGTGTCTTTTAAACAATGAGGGGTGGTTTCCCGGACCAAGATTAAGCCTAGTCCTAGACTAAAATGGCCATTTAAATCAGACTAACAGAAATGTGCTTTCTCTGTCATGGTTTTAAAAGACTTAGTCTAGTCCAGAATTTAATAGGCTAATTTCCTGGAGGAAGACTAGAGCAACTTCAGGACTAAATTGAGGCTTAAATTAAACCTACCAGGAGGCAGGTTTAACTTCAGATTAATTTCAT